ATGAAACTTGGGACGTACCGTGCTGTTTGTTACGCGCAAAAGCCCATTTTAAGCAAGCACATGCAAAAGATGAACACGAATTGAGGACATTTACACGTACAAAGGCTAAGAGTCCTTGTCAGACAAGTATAACAAAAATCCTCTATCTTTAAGAAGCTATAGTAAGTACTTTGCTTTTAGCTGTAATTTTTTTTTGGCACAGATTCACGGACTTCTACTAAGGAACACTATAAAGGCAGCACCACCTAGTGGTGCCAAGCCACAGGGTAGTATTGTCGGGGGTTTCCTTGGGGAAAATCACTTTGGAAACCATAGGGGAAAATCTCAGATTAAATGATTTTTAAAATACCCACATGACATCTATGTGTTTTGGGGTTTTTTTGTTATTCAGCTTGAACATGAATAAATAATATTTGCTAGCTCTGGGTATACATTCACTTACTTTCAAAGAAAGGGAAAAAGATAAGTGAATGTGTGTATTAATCACAGAGGATAAAATATTTTTCTATTTTTGTGTATGCACATATATATACAAAAATATATATATTTAAAATGATCAGGTATTAAAAGTTACTACTCACACCTTCCCGTCTAACTTGGTTATTTACTACTGCTGGTGTAAAATCTAGATGAAAACCTATAGATGAATAAGAAATAGCCAGCAACTTTGGACCTCTTCCCCAGTATTTTCCAATACACATTTCAGTGAAAAGAAGGTTATCTTGCTTCAGTATATACAGTCCATGGCACACATGATCACCTTGAAAAAATCAGAAGAGTCGAATGTGTAAGGCCACCTGGACTTCTCTTCCCTAGTGATTGTACTGGCCTATGTATGTACATCTGCTGTAAGGAGCTGAACAGCACTGTGACTGTAACTTGGTGGCATTTGAAATCATCTCAGCATCTGCTTTTCACATGACCCTGTAAATTCTCTATTGACACTTCAGAAGGTGAAAAACCCTCTAATGCATCTGCCTCCATGAGAGCCTGCCAGCGCAAACTAACATTGTTCTGGAAAAATGAGAATGAATGATTTGTTATATCCCTTCAGTGACTTCTTCTGGGCATGCAGAAGGGGAAGTTTGGCCTACCATAGATGTAAATCTTTAGTAATTATATGATAGTATTTTTGATGTGAGAACATAATATAGGAAGGAAAAAACAATAACCAATGATCAAAAAAGTAGTGGCCTTTTTTTTCAGTATATGGTGCAAACAGCACACACATCAGGTGCCCAGACTTACCCCTTGCCTCATCCCATTTCTTGCATCCTCTCCCACCCTACGTGCAGTCCACAGCTCACCTCTCCAGTTCCTTAACTTTGATCTCACGTGTGCTTCCAAAGATTATCCACTCGGTATAGCCTCAAAGCCTCCACTGTGTGTCCCTCCTACTCCCCTTCCCCCAGTCCCATGCATGACAGCACAAGTCTTCTGTTTCTAGCTCCAAACACCCCCCCAGAGCCTACTTCTTGCATGCTCACAGCTGCCAGGCATGCTACTCTCCATTTTCATGGCCACGTCAATGCTGGGCTGTTTAAGGAGGTTATAAGTTTAATTCCCCACTGCCATACAATTTTCCTGGAGTTGTGACTACCTCACCATTGACCTCATAGATTCCTTCCATGCCTACGTACCTACAAAAGAGTAAGGAAAAACAGAAAACAGACTGACTGAATAGAGTGATTCTAGTTAAACGATCACTTTATAGAATTATTTTCACCACACTCCATCATTTAATGGCTAATTGGGCTTTTTTTTTTTTAATCCTCACCTTTTCTCACAGTGAATTTATTCTGAACTCTTATTCTCCTAATGGCTGTAAACTTTCTGCTCTAGTTTATTCGTTGCTAGCTGGTGACACTTGTTTTGGGCAAGCACTGCCCTTTACCCTAAGGAGTAAATACCTTAACTTGAAGGTATTTGAAGAGAACATTTATCTCCTCTCTCAATATTCACTTTTCTAGATTAACTACATGAATACTTTTGAGCATACATTTAGTCTCTTGGAGACATCCATGTTTCCACTACCTCCTATCTAATGCAACTGGAAGGAGCATAATCAAGTCATCATAGTTTTCTGTCCAAAGAAACAAGTTCTCCTAGGCCCACGGTTTCATGGTTTCCAGATGTGCCAGAGCTTGATCTGCAAGCTTCTGGTCTGCTTAAACCACAGGGAGGCAGAGCAAAAAGCATTGTAGCATAACCCCTTCTCCACTCACAGAAACTTTATTAACCTGATAATCCTTGTAGTTGCCTTAACTGTCCAAATGAAACTCCACCTTTCTTGAACACATAACCACACTGTACATAGCGCTTAAGATGCAGTCTCACCTACTCTTCCCCTGTCTCTATCAGAGATACTTCATCTCATACATTCTAGGCCGTATTTTTCATTATTCCAACACATTTGCAATTTCTAGTAATCTGTGATTACCTAGGTCTTCCTCTACACATTTCATGTTCAACTGGTGAGCTCCTCAAACAAATTCTTTTTATTCTCTACATAAGAATCAGTCCTAAGGTATTTCCTGGGTAACTTTGCCAGTAACTTTCCTCCAGAATGACAGTACTCATAATGTCTCATTCAGCCAGGTCATTACACACCTTAAATTCTTGTATGAATCTCCATCTTTACTAGCTGAAACAGTAATCTCCTGTATAGCAATGACTCTTCCAGTTCTATCCAACAACTTGAAAACTTTAAGACACTAAAGAAAAATGCAATTATAAATAGCAATTAAAATAAGAACGGGACTTGTAAATTCTGTATAAATATTTTATTATGTATAAAAGACAACTTACATGGATAGATGTTCTATTAAAAGAAATCACAGGCTTTCTGTTTTCATTAAAAGATTCAAATGCATTAAAGAGCATTTTAGAATGCCTCTTCCCTCTTCTACAGTGATGTGCTACATAGGGACTGATACCAAATAGCAAATGTAGTGCAGCATAGCTGGTGTTTCTATGTTCTAATGATGCTATGACAATGCAAAAGGAGGGCACCACACAGAACCCAAATTTGGATTCAAGGCTTGGGCTCTTTGGCCCCAAGTCAACAAAACCAGGCAGAGTTATGGAGTCAAATACTCAAATCTACAGACTTTTAAACAGACCTTCACAAAACATCTCCTTTGGGATGTCAGCTGGCTCTGGCAAATACAACTCTCTTCATTCTATTTAAGATGGGGATAATGGGAAATAACAATGGGAAAGAAAAAAAAAAGGGAATAATGTGAATCCCTGGAAAACAGCATCAGAATGCAAGCTCACCCAAGGAAAAAACCTTCCACAAATGACTTGTTTTTCTTATAGTACATATGTATGCTAAATACAGGATTAACATTTTAATGTCATCATGTAAACATTTAATCTTCTCACCGAATAGATAAATTTTGTTTAGTGTTATTATTTTATATATGAGATCCATACAAAGGAGATTCTTTTGGTTTTCTTCTGTCAAGACCTTGAAAAGGCACTACAAAAAGTAACCAAAGTATTACAACAATGTGACTGTAGTAGTTAGATATGTGGAATTTCATGTACACCATTAAAACTAGAGTGTGGTGTTTAATTTGTAACCTGTCTTTGAATTTTTATAGCTAGATGAGCAGAGAAAAATATTGTCATTTTAAAAACTCAATTGCACAACTTTTTTCTAGCTCTGCATATGGCTGGAAAGTTTACGATTATCAGTACGTAAACTACCTCACAATCAACAGTCAGAGCCTGACATGTAAACAGTTAACTATACATAATTACATACTTCTGATATGCAGGTTTGAGCATTACTGAAGGCATAATATGGACCAAAGAGATAAGGTTTCTATCAAAAATGAGAACGTAAGGTTAGTGCAGTGATACTGAAGTTATCTAAAGACTAAAGTATCATGCAAGAGAGACTTTTCTGTTAGTTGTCAAAGAAAAAATAAAATACTAATTAAAAGAAAACCTTTCATGTGTCCACTCTTTGCATTAGACACAAGATAGTAAAAAATCTCCAGATACTTCAGTAGTCACATTTCCATCCTACAGAAGGCAACTGTGCACCTGCCTATGGATTCACCCTGTTAGAATCAGAAGTTTCCAGTTCTTACTGCTGAAGAACTGTGAAGATCGTTAATAGTAGTATTTTAATTAAATGATAAAAATGTAACAACTACTTCATTTTTATTATTTACATTTGGTTTTGGCATAATATTAGCTAGAACAGTGAAAGTGGCTTGTGCTAGTCCACTCAGCTTATGCTTTGGTGATGAGGACAATGTCTGGGTTCATAACTCTACAATGTGACATTTGAGTTTTTATTTTTAAGGTTTTAAATTTTCTTAAAAATTATGTAGAAACAGCTTATGGGGATTATGTTTGGATAAATTTCTAATTGTTCTGCATTTCAAGTCTAAACAAAATGACATAAATTGTAGTTTTTCTATCTTTACTTTTCATATTAATGTATTAATTTTTAATACATGCAGAGTAAATGGTTTTACAAACAAGAGAAAAATGATCTCATAATTTCAATGTTAGTTGGAAACTTCTAAAAAACACTGGAGGACAAGAAACAGGAAAACACAAACTCATAAATGCAGCTAATTTTCACACATTTTATAGTAATCCTCTTGCTCTCAAATAGATTCACAGAGTAATTGACTTCTATGACAAAGCAGTGTAACAAAACCACTGAATGATATGGACATGGCTGAGTTTAATTTTGTTTTTTTTCAATGCATGTGTTGCTACTACTAGAAATCTTTCCAGGTGAAAGGAGATTCCCAGTGCAAGAAAGAATGTTTTTCAGTATATATTTTCATATGTGTAATTACCTATTCTAGGAGAGGTAATTTCTCTTATGTACTGCTAGAACTAAGGCAGAACATAATACTAGATCATTTTGGCAAATACCTACAAACCAGAGAACAAGCACGATTAAACATCCATAAGATGCAAGTCTGTTCCCATGAAAATCACACCAGTGTTTCCAAAACATTTGAGTCTCACTTTCTGTCAGAAAATCTCACATTGATGGAGTTTCCAGGAGTCAAAAGTCCATGGGTTTTGGCATGAACTGGTTTGGTTTTGGGAGAAATTTTGATCTCAAAATTCTGAAGCAACTGTAAAGATAAACAGGACAAGTATTAGAAAAGCTGCAAACTGCAGCTCAAGATCAGACTTTGGAAAAGAGAACACACCAGAGTGTCACAAACAAAATTTCTGTTGCCAACTCTGTGGAGTCTAAGTGCTATGATTCCCACACAGGAAAGAAAAAAATAGTTGTTACAAGGTGAAGATTATAGTTAAAAATCGTCCTCCTCCGACTGAGGGAGGAGCGAGCCAGTCCTTTCTGCAGAATTTCCACACAACTAGATTAAACAGTCTGAGCTATCAAAGAAACTAAGGTCTCTTTCAAACCTCATGAGCTTCCTCTCTATGTGCTTTACATTTCATTTCCTTTAATATAAATCAATATGTGAAATTACAAAACAAAGCAATAAAAGAGTCCCAATCCCATCGCACACATTTCTGTTCCTGGGCAGAAGGAAACAAACTTGAGACAGCAACTGTCCGGTGCCCTACGTGAAAGAAGCATAATTAAATATTAGAGCCTCTCCTGAACAGAGTCACTAATTCAGCCACACAGGTTCTCCAGACATTAGACCTCTATTTCCATACACTTCATGAAACTGTGAGAGTCAGCTGCAAACATAAACCACAGAAACTGTGGGCTAAAACAAGCTTCAAGAGATTTATCTCACCCATTTTAAAGCTGAACATAGAGTACCTCAGGTATCTATTTTGAAACTTTCAAGAAGGAAATACCGCAACATCCTCAACTTTTCCTAATATTAAATCTCCAACACTTTTTCCTATAAACTAAGAAATCTTCTTTTGTCCTTCTCCTAGTAAGCATGATGAACAATGCAGTATTTTCCTATACATAACTACCTTTTCAGTGTTAGATGTTTGATCAAATTTTAATTTCACTCTTCTCTTTTTCAAACCTCTCATTCTTGTAATTCTCTCTGTCTTCCAAATTCCTCCAATTGGACTATATTGTCCTTAAAATGCAGCGCGCAGGGTCAGTTGCGTATCATTGTCTAGCTGAGGATTCGCCAGTGTTTGGTAAGACTGAGTAATTTAGCTCCTCTTTCTGACATACAACGTGCTTGTTAATACTGTTAATATACCCAAGAATTACACTGCCTTGTCAGAATTAGCATCATTATTATTGACTGATTTTTTACTGTATCCTCCCAATCTGTTTCTATGGTAGTTATGCATTTGATTTATTCTCAAGAGCAGTAACTTGTCCTTAGTGAATGATTTTGTGCTGATTTTGGAACATTTCTCCATTTTTTCCTAACTCTATATTGACATCCTCTGGTTTTAACTTAGTTCATATCAGCTTGGTATCCCATGCAAACTCTAAAAACATTCTCTAATGCATCATTTACACTGTTAATGAAAATACCAACCTAAATCAAATGCAGGACAGACTCTTACAGAATTTTAATTAAATGCTTTCTGAGTTCAACAGCAAATATTTGACAGTTACAGCCTTCAGCTATTTCATTTTTCCAATCACTTGTGCATGCATTTTATAGGTACTTCCATCTGGAAAAAATTTTGTTAATTTAATTGTGAGACCAATGCACAGGACATGTGAAAATACTTCCTGTAGTCAGAATACATGATTTGTTTTATATCCACCACACTAGGTAAGTGGTCAAGTCAAAGAAAGAAATCTGACTGGTCTGAAACAATTTTTCTCTGATCAGCTTCATGCTTCATGAGTTTCTATTTTTAAATCACTTAAATATCATCTCGATGCTTGTAAATAGGTTGTGTGCTATTTTGCTTTAGTTTCTTTCCAGAAAACAAAAGTAGGCTCGCTATCACTTCCTTGATCCTCCTTTTCACAAAGATGCCAGTATGTTTGTTTTATCCAGCTCCCCGAGAGCTATCTCACTCTGAGTTCCGAAATACAGATGCTAATTGTTCACAGATTGCTTTAGGAGTTTACTTAGGGAAATTCTAAGGTAAATTCAATCAAGCTTTGCTTTGAATACATATAATAGGTCTAAATATTTTTATAGTTAAGTAACTACAAATAGTTTCCAAATCTTTGAGCTTTGATTGCACAACCTGATCTCAGTATTTGAGCTGAAGGGTGTCTTGCAAATGACAAAAAACGTAGCAGCTGTTGAGAAAGCTTTCTTTACGATATGAAGCAATGGAAAACAATATGTATATATATATGTACTAACTACTTATATAAATATAAATGATGTATTTTTAAAATGATAATAAAGTTAGAAGAAAGAACAAGAAGGGACAGAAAACCACAGAACATAGAAAAATTCTACTATTTGTCACAACAGTGTGGTCAGTACAAGGATATAAAAACTATTTCACGTTTTTGTAAGTACTGAATTCCTCGTAACTAAAATACTGAAACTGAGCAGTACGGAAACCATTTCAATATACATTAAGAAAGAGTTCCTATTTACTTACAAAAATCTTCTGTATTAAATCCGTGTATTTCCTTAACAATCTCACCTTTAGTTTTCCTTCATTTGTATTATAAACATTTTTTTCTTCTACAAAGTAGCTCAACAAGTATACTACATTTCAGGCATGACTATTTTCAAGTTTTTCAGCCTTTGCAGAATGAGTATGCTAGACAGCACTCCAAAACAAAGGTTTTGAGGACTGTAAGATATCCAGAAATGGTATACATAGAAAATATGTATCAATATATTTTTCTTCTTGTAATGCTGTCACATAGTTCTAACCTGAATCAGTGCAAGATGAATTTCCAGCTCTGCAATTCTTTTTCCTATACAACTTCGAATGCCATAACCAAAGGGGATGGAACCAAAATTGTCTACTCTGTCCAAATTATCTTTCCTCAGCCAGCGCTCGGGTCGGAACTCATTTGCCATTGAGAAATTTTCTTCGCTGTATGAAGTAGTATAATGACAGAGTGCCAGCTGCGTCTGAGGAAATAAATGATATTTGTATTTAGCTAACTCCAATACACATAACAAAATAAAAAAGCATTTGTAATTACTGCAATATAAGGTGACAAAAATTAAGTATCTTTGAGCAATTCTAGAAGAAAAAAGGATACCTAGAAAATCAGATCCCTTTCTTAACTGGTCAAATGAAATAAACTTCAGCTGGTTTTAAATGTTGCTGGATATATTAGAGAAGATGCAGTGGGGAAGGAGATGGGAACAAAAGTCACAAGCATTGGGAATTGTCTCAGAAAGATAGTATGAGAGAAAGGGAGAAGAGACAAGACAATGGAAAGCGAAAAAACAGAGGACGATCAGGAAAAAAACCACCCACCTCAGGAAAAAAAACAGCAATAATTGATGTAATGATGTTTCCAAATAAATTGAGGGGGGAGGATGTGTGTGGAATAATATTTAAATAGGTATATTAAGAATTAGGAATTCTGACTGTTTTAAAGCTACGTTGCTCCAACACAGAAGTGCTCTCATTTAAAATAGGGCCATATAGTTCTACCATGATCTCTGTGTAATCTTTGAATAGTATAAAGGAAAGATTCATAATTTAAAGAGGAAATTAAACTCTTTCTACAAAGGGAATTAATAGGCAAAGAATTAGAAAACTGCAAAAATAATGAATTTTTTTTAATCGGATTGTAACATTGCACAGAGACATTATCAATAGACTTTACCCTCAAGAATATTAAGAGCAAGTCATGATGGTAAATTTGATTAGCAGGTGAGGACCCAAATCTACAAAGAACAACAGCAACAAGTCAATTATAAAATCCATTTTTGTCATATAAATGGGGATTATTGAAATACTTTCCTCTTAATCCTCTAGCTTGGTGAAATGTTTTGAAATCAATGAAGTGTATATATGTCGTAACAAATCACATTTCATACACGAAAATTAAACTGTGTTCTCTGCAGAGGACTGCAATAGAACCTACTCCTTTAGGTATCAAGTATCCTCCAATGATCAAGTCTTTTTGGGTCACTCTTCCATTTCCTGGCAATACTGGATATAACCTAGAGACAAATATTTATGAGAAGTTCAACAGTAATAACTAATACAACTTCAGAAGTTTAGATTCCAATTCGCATTCACAAATATGCAATATGAATGCAACACGCATTCACAGCAAAAGGATTTTTCAAAAGTACAGAACACCTTGGAGATTCAAAGACCTTGAATGATCTGTGAGGATCTGAATAGTAGCTGAGAAAAGTTACTTACTAGTACCTGGAGGTTGAGCTGTTTGGTCTGTATATTTATTTGCTTTACACATGTATGTGCATGTAACCAGTTGGTCAAGCTGGAGACGTTTTAGCACTACCGGGAGCTGAAAAAGCCTTGTTGATGCCTTCTCTAAAATCCTCTTATTACCCCCAACTCACTATGAACACTCAGTATAAACATATAAAAAAAACATGTCACATGCCTTCAATTTAAGTCAAGAAGCTTAACATGATTGTAATGGCACTGCAAAGTACCACTTTGCGGTAGCATGTGGGGGAGGAGGTTGTTACAGTCCATCATACAAATTAATACTTGAAAGGCAAAAATCAAGCTTTCAATTACCTACCTTAACAGACGTCCTACATATGTGATAATACTTCTACAATACTTAAAAACATTAAACATTACACAAACTACCATATTGCATTGCTTGGGCATCCTTGGACACATTGCTGCTACAACAAATAAAAGCAGAAGCAGCTAAGAGCAGTAACAACAACTAAAAAAAATGTTAGCATGGACTCAAATCCATTACAACTACACAGAATTAATTTTTTTGATTAATGATTGCAGATGTCTGCTACTTACCTCAAGGTTTCTTTCAGCACAGCTCTAATCAAAGGCAATTTCGGGACATCATGAGCAACAGGAACTTGGTCTTTCCCCAGCTTATTGACTATTTCCTCATAAACATGTTGCTGAACCTCAGGGTGCTTTGCCAACAAGTATGTAGCCCAGGACAAAGTAAAAGAAGTCTAAGGACGAAACCACAACCATCATCATCAAGTCCAACAAGATTAGATTAAAAACAATTTCAAGCCAAGAAAAACAATCAGTTTTCAACTATGTGTTTTATACTGTTAAAGTTATAAAACACACTGGCAATGATTCACATCTGGATTCAATGGGACTTTGTCAGACTTCACCATCCCCCCCTTCATCCCTTTTCCATCTAAAAATCCCCTACATATCAAAACAACCCATGCTGGTATTTTCACAGTGAAATATTAAAAAGCAACAGAAAATCCAAATGCAAACAAAACTACATAAACAATACTGAAACACAAAGACTCTAAACAGCAGTGGATTCAGTTAGCTGTTAGTTTTCAATATGTTTCATCTTTCTTCCCAACAAAAACATTTCACGGGAAACAGGAGAAGAGAATACTACTCAGAAAATTACCAACCTCTTTTAAACACATGGTGGTCTCCTCGTAGCATTCACGCAACAGAACTGGGATTATCACTGCTAAGATTACACTTCATCCTTTGGTAAGGAATGCTACACTACAACTGGCACTTTCTACCTCTTGAAAATTCCCACTTGACTGAAATTCAGCATCCTATTGAAAGCTTTCTTTAGGAAGTTCAAAGACGAGCTTACATATTTAAAGTGGCCCCAAAATGTTAAAATAACCCCCCCCAATTAATGATTCTAATAGTCATCAAGGCTTCAGAAAAGAGGTACTGTATGAAAAATCATTTAAAAATATTTTATCTGAAGGAAGAAACAGAACACAAGGCAGAAAACAGATCAACTTTGAGCACAAGACAATTTAAAAGAAGCCATCGTTTCATCCTCTTTCACCTCAGCTGGAAAAATTGCACTTCAATGCACGTTTGTGGTTTAGGATATACTCCGAGAGCATGAACTCACGCCATCTTTACTAACGTGGAACTAAGCAGAGTATTTCAACTCTTTATTTGTGATCCAGCATTTACCATTCATTTAACGATGGGTCTCTGTGTTTAAGCTACCTGGATTTCAGGGACTATTCCTTTCAAATACGAGACAGACTCGGGACATTTTGCTTCTACTATCAGCTGCATCCAAGACATTACGGTTAAGCAAATGGCCTTACTTCAGCCCGTTTCCCTCTCAACTATCACTGAAGACAGAGAGTTTACCAAGAAAAATGCATTTTCAGTGTTCCTGAGTAGGTATGGCAGAGAAAGTGACAATGCAATAATTCTGTTCCTTAGCTGTGTTGTTCTTGGCATCTTCCAGCATTTAAAGAAGAAAAATTGTAACCTCTACCCTAATTTTCTTGAATTATTTTAAAATGTATTCTTTTCAACTTGTGTAATGAAGACAGACCACCAGTTTCACTTTCTAGGCAGGAAACAGTTTTATTTTCAGCTTCTCCCTCATGGGCACAACAAAGCTTCAGGTTACAAATAAAGTCTGCGTAAAAAACTCAGCTTCCAAAAACGTCTTATTTTTGGGCTTACATTTAAGACCAATTGAGAATACAAATTCATCATGGCAGTGACCTTTTATGTCTTGCCTTCAAACTGGGGTATAATGCTAGAAGTACCATTCTCAGAACGTTTCTTTTTTTCTTCTTGTGGTACTAAGTGGCTGTCCTTTGCTAAAACGCAACCCTGCCCTACCCGTCTCAGAGCTCAGAGGAGCAGGCAATTGTACCAGCTGCATACAGAACTTCTCCAAAATAAACACTGTTTCTTCCCAGGTTCCCAGCTCCTTCCTAACCTCTTAAAAATTAGCACTGTTCCAGGGACAGCCAAAATGCTTTGTAGCCAAAAACTGCCTTACAATTTTGTTGAAAGCTTTTGTAATTCTCTAAACCTCTTTCATTTTCTATGATAAAATGAGATCTGAAGTGACAGCAGTAGGGGAAAAAAGGTTCCCTCAATTTCTGTCTTGTACTTGGAAATGAGGAAATCAGAAGTACCGTCCTCTCACAAAATGATTGTTGCCAGCTGAGAAAGCTGAGTCAAATGGAAGGAGAAACTCTTGTTGGCATGAACTTGAACACTGTCTTTTTAGTTTAATGAAAACTCTCTCACACACAAAAAATGGAAAATTAAGGGTCTGAAAGATTAGAAAATGAATGGGATGAATAACTGTGCTTTACTTAAGAACCAAACATCAAAAAGCTCTCCAAACTCATAAAATCGTGGGATATTTAACTGATGGCATAATCTTCAGCACATAAATAAGCTTTACATATTCTCCTTATTTTGGAATTCAAAAGCATTACTGTTGGGTTTTTTTTTTGTTTTCTTTAGGAACCTTACAAACTCTCTCAAATAAAAAAAAAATCTGAACTCAGTGATCCAGAGAGGCTTTTTTACTTTAGGGCTACTTTACGTTTTTTACTTATTTTCTCCTTTCTACTGTAAGACTGTTAAACATAGTACTACACAGCACTTTCTTTATCAAATTCATGCAGATTTCTTTTTAAAAATTTCTCACAATCATTTACAATAATGGCATTCATTGATATTCTATACAATACATAACTTATTTTTATATTTTCTTATTCTGCCGACTGTCATGCTTCAGTCAATACTAAGCTACACTGATTTCACAACACGAATGAAAGGGAGGTAAAATATATAAATGACCTTAATGTTTCTTCAGATGCTCTAGATGACAAATCAGAAGAATAAGGAAAGTTGGCCACTTAAAGTGCTTCACTAGGTGTTAACATACCTCAGACACTAGCCTCATTAACGCTGAGCCCCACCACCACAGCCCTTTCACTTGCACCGTATGTTGCCAGTACAAGCATGGGTGGTGAACTTAGGCCTTACCTACATTAGTGCTGGTCTAACACCCTCCTCCTGATGGAGATCAACATAAACCAGGAATCTGATCCATAACCTATGTCCCAGTTGACTTAATCAGCCATGTGTAAAAATCCTTTACCAAATTCTACAGTGTTTTCACACTGACTTTCAGCAGCCTTTTCTATTGTGGTCTACCTGAAGAAGCACAAATACCAACCTGATATTCAAGGTAGGAAAAGAAAATGTATTAAATTCAAGCTGAATGTAAAGACAATTGCTATTTTATCCATTTAAACAGCTGTGGAACTGACTCCCAAATGACGGGTTCCTGTAAACTACAGCTAGAACAGAACAACACTGACTGCATTCTAGTAGAGACTAAAAAGTGCTGTATTTTCTGTCATTTCAAAGATGTAATAACTTATACTTTTATAATTTGTATAAATTATGTCCTTATAGACAAAATAATCCCCCCCCAAGATAGCTGTGAATGGTACTGGTTTACAAAAACAATTGTCCACAAGAAAAACGATAACGAGCTTACTGTGTCCACTCCTGCCAGAAGCATTTCAGTCATATTGGCATAGATCTCTTCCAAAGTAAGTTCCTTACTCACTAGGAGGTATGTAAGTAGCCCACCATTCACTTCGTCTCCTTGGTCCAGCTGAGACTGAACAGCCTTCAATTTGTTGTCAACATGGATTTGACCTTTGGAATTCAAAAAAATTGTTAAGCCTCTATTTTTATTTTTCTGCTGGTTCCATTCAGCAATGACATTTCTCCCTTACACTACACTACATAGTCATAAAAAGACAAAATATCTGAATCTATTTTTCTGATGGAAAAGAGAACAGAGTGGTGGTGGAGGTCCTCGGGTACTCATGGTAAGGAAAGACAGAGTTGACAGGAACCTTGGTAGCTCACAGCATGAGAATGCTGAGCACGAGGAAAAGACACAAGAGACTATAGTTTATGACTGGGAGCGAAGGAAGCTCAAGCTCAAGTTTTTACGCCCACCTGGCTTGTTTTCTGATGACTCTGCAAGAAGTGGTGAACTCTGCAGAGCGTGATGCAAGTCAGCACACAGCGGCTGCTACAAGACGTTAGCAGCAACCAGAAGCTCAAAGCCACAGAACTGAATCACACTGAAGACAAAGATGAGGAGCATCAAGGAATAACAAAAATTGAAAAACTTCAGTGAATGCAGTCCCATTTATACTTTAGTGACTACAAACAACATCTTCAGTGAAACAAGGGCTTTAAAAAGTGGAAAACTCCTCAGAAAGTTAATGCTCTACAGAAAGAGTTTACAAAAAAAATCCCAAACTAGAATCAACATGTTCCTTTATGAAACCTACACAAACACACGCATCACACACAGTGATGCTCACCACTTAATTCCTTTCTCAGAAAGGGATTAAACAAAGAAACACATAACAAGTTTCAAACGGAACAAATTCCTCAAGGAGAATTTTTCAGCTGCTGTTAGGATAGAGCTGAAGTCTGCTGTTGTTTTTAATCCACAAAGGGGAACAAGAGTGCTCTGTCATGGGCAATAATTTAAAAGTGGCAGTGTAAAAAAGTACGTGTTTCATAGAAAACACACCTGTACCAGCCTTAAATGGATTCCCTAATGCCTGCTGTAGGTACAGATCAATACATATTAAAAATGAAGCATAGTAGGCACATTAAAAGTTAAGAAACTAAAGAATCTACTCTCAAGAAGATGTACACAGACCTGTCTAGACAAATAGTACTAATAAAATAATTTTAAAATGCATGCAGCTTTCTAACGTTAGAGGGAGAAAAAGGGTTCAAGGTTTTTTTAAACACTCCAGATTGCAAAGACAACTGCTTCTTCTTACTTACATGAAAGCTGATTGATAAAGTAGCCTGGAATGCTTTATTCACAAAACCGCATATTGTAGTATAGCAGTGTACTTCTATGTCAACTTATATGCTTGTATATGTATATATAAATTTCACAAAGAGTTTAATTAATTGCTAGAGTCTCATTTCTTAACTGTCTAGTCAGTTTTAGTAGTGATTATTTGTCAGAGTGACAAGTGAAAACTTGCTGAAGTCAACAAAACCACCCTCATTAAAATTTGAGTGGCTCAAGATAAAGGCTTGGCAAACAACTCAGACCTGGAGTGAGGTCTGGGCGCTGAAACAGATGAAGACAAATAAAGAAACAGCAGTATAAAATAGGGGAATGTTTGAAGTGCACTGGTAAAATTCTTTTTCAGTAGAGTATTTTTTAAAATGGTTCCCCTGGCCAGTCTGAGTTTAATGTGAAACTTCCTTCTACCACAATGTCTTCTTATAATTTTAGAAGAGAAATGCAGCAAGTCCTGTTCAAACACACACAGAACCTGCAGAAATACAGCTGAACTTTGCTACTACTAAATCTTACTAAATTTGAAGAGTCCATCCCAGGATCTGCAGAACTCTCTCCAGGGTTTTGGAATAAGTGGACGAAGCCATTTGGGAATAGCACCTGCATACATAGTGGTCTTAAACATACTAAACATCAACTCCAGAGCCTCAATATATTCAACAGTCTGCTGTGGGACGTTGTTTTCCAGGCAGCCCAACCGGCATTCATACAGAATAGTTGCCACACCTGCACATACGAAATCAAAGAATTTGCTATACACATGCACAGATACATATTAATAATTTAAGGAATTATAATGCTAACATAATGGAACTACCTTCCAAAAATGTTTACTTACTACTGCAGTTGGGAGCAGATAAAACAGAAATTTAAAACACAGTAAAAAACCCCAGCCAAACATTGTAGCAAGACACTGGCTACTAGGTCAATAATGCTCAGCACCAGAGGACAGCCAGAATTCCACCAGAGGTGGAGCATCCCTCCAGCACGTGTGCTGTGTTCTGCATCGCACCACGGATGTTGAGCCGGCCGTGCTGTCCTCTGAACACACAAGGATGTACAAGGCCAAAGACATTTCTGATAACTGGTGGTAACGCCAGAGTTTCTAGGGGTGGCTATGACTTTCGTCATCATAAGCCGGTAGTAAGTGAATAAGGAGTACACAATGATAAAGAGCTCGCACTCTAAGCAGTGATTTCACTGCACACAGCATACTCCACGTGGCCCTGAAAAACAGCAAGTGCGTGGCACTGTTGCAAGTGACAATATCAACTCATCTCATGCTGCTGACTTGCTGTAATTTCCTCAGATGTTTTGTCTGCAGTGTTGCAGTGATCCCTACTAGAAACATCATTCCCGCCCCCTGCAAAGAACAGTACTTTATATATTTTTTTTTACTAAATTATTCTTCTTCTTCTCAACTCTGGACCATTTACTCCTTTATCAAGTTAATTCTTACTCATCCATTAGTGTCCCTGCAACCTCTTGGCTCAGTTTTTATAAACATACCCAAATTATTAAATACTAGACAAAACTCAGGCAGAAACTGCTCTACCGGAGTTAGCCAAAATGTGCACTCAGTTTGACAGTAAACCATTTTTAATTACTTTCTGAACACAGGTTTCTAGCAACTTTTCCTCCCAACTTGCAAAAGCTAGACCATATCACCCATTTTGTTTATGAAAATATCACACGGTATGGTACAAAAAGCATTCCTATTATCAAAATAATCTTATTTAATGATTTTTCTAAAATCCAGTGAGGCAATTAGGTAATTTAAAAAGGCATTTAAATAACTCCTCAAAGCCATTTGCATCAAATCAAATGTTTTTAAATAAATTTTGTGCTTTTAAATTCATTAGGTAACAGTTCATTCATATCTTTCCAGGAAATACTAGAATAATTGTTAACTAGATAATTAGAGTAACTGGTCTGTTAACACTCCACTTTCTTTTTTTTCTGTTTCTTCTACTAAAACCAGGTACAATAGATATGTTCTTTAAACTTGCTCTTGCCCTTCATCAAACTCTCCATAAATTCTCAAGTAGATATATACAGATATATAATATTTTAATAAACTTTTCTTTTTCCCTGTTATTGGCTTCATATTGGTTCTTTATTGACAAAAATAATTTAAAAATCTGTCAATTTTCAACTCACTGTTCCTTCCGTAATTTTCCTCCCTGGGGAGATATTTTTCTGTGCCTTTTATTTCTCTTGTGCCTCTTCCAGCAACTGCTAGTTCTTATGCATTCTTTTGCTCTTCACATGGTCTTTTCAAAAAAATCTTACAGACTGGTTTCCTGAACAGTTGACAGTGTAAGTTAATTAAAACTGCAATTCATATAGGAAATAAGTGCATGCCAGGCACAAGTTATAAATGAAAAGCTAAAAGAATGTGAAGAATTTCAACTAACCCATCAGTTAAAGTGAATCTGTAAGCTCAGAGTTTATAATACCACAAAACTGGTAGCTCTTAGTTGAGTGCCATTTTCAGACGTTAATGCAGAACAGACCCAGGTTAGTTAACCAGACAGACAGACAGCAATTTGATACAGCATCCTCATAGGTGAGCAATCTGGAAGTTCTTGCAAATCTCAAACTATTCAGCTGTATGTTAGCAAAGAGCACTGATGTTTTTAAAAGGGACTACATACTACAAGAACAGGTTGTATGCAGTCAAAGGAATGTATGAAATATGAATCACTATTAGATTTCTAGAACTCAGGAAATGCCATACTAGCTCAGGCTGGAGTTCCATCCAGCACAACGCTCCCTCGTTCATGGCAGCCAGCAGCAGATGGTTTTAAGGCAAGCATAACAAGCCCGCAGCTGGCACATGCGGGCAGGGGAAAGCAGTATCTTTTCCCAGATTAACCTATGAACAAAACTCAGATAGATCACACAGTGATTCCCCACTGGGAATTTGGCCAGCGTGTTGTTAAATTAACGTGTCTTAGAAGTCACACTGTTAGAAGGTCAACACCCTTATTCTTGAGAAATTAATACAGAAATAAGGAATATTGAAACTGCTCAGAGCCTTGACTGTACATTTTACCTATCCACCAGCGTTTCCATGGGAATTGTCCCCTAATACAAGGTATCATCTCTTCGGACTCTACAAAGGAATTCTACTGATTTCTACTGCACTAAGTAAGAAGATACCTGAATGCAGAACATCAAGCTTCCCTTTTCAGCTTAATCACAACTGGGCACTAGTCATTTGACAGAAATGCCTAACCATCAGCACACTGCTTGACATCCATTTTCTTTGCAGATGTTATAGAGCCTGGGCCCTGCTTACCTTCCATTGAATACTTGAAGAAAAGGTTGTTAACATTGGTCACTGTTTCCCCATCATCCTCTTGACTTCTGAGGGTGTGGATTCTTTTAATTAAGTCTCTGATAACTTCATTGACTCCTTCAGAGTAAACAGCCACATCTTTGGGTTTCAGAATTTTTTGCCTCAGTACACTTCTCATTTTTAGCCATTGTTCCCCCTCCCTAGAAGAAATTATTAATAATGTCTACACACCATTCTCCTTAACAATCATCAGCTGGGTAAGAGGTCTGCAATGAAACTGTTTATGATTTTTTACCCCAAATGAAAGCAAGGGGTGAAATGAACATGATGATAATGTATATTTGGTATTATGCTCCTACATTTTTATTCTCTATTTACTGCACTTTCAGTTACCCTAATTCTAAACCTACAGAGTAATAGGATACCAGACCTAGCTACAGAGAAACAATTCACAGCCAGATTCTCCTTTAGCTGAGCTATGTATTGAAATCGTTGTGCAGAAGACTAAAAATCTGAATTGTGGCATCTGCGTGCCTCATATGAGCAGAGTATTTGGGAACAGTGGTTCCAGGAATATATTTCAATTCCTTATGAAAACAGACAACTGGCTTTTATGTATTTATTTTAAATTACTATCTATTTCCCAGTATATTTTTTCCACCCGGAGCAATGCTGCTGCAAGGTACAGAAACTAATCAGCCAGCAAATGAATATAATCACTTTAAGAGACATTTTCTGACTATCTCTTGATTTAAGATCTCATTTCACAAAATATTAAGGAACTGTTAGTTCGAACTGCAGCTGAATATGAGAGTCTGCAGCACAATACATAATGCCTTTTGCCACCATGAAAGAAACAGACTGTCCATGATTCAGGAAATTAGTTTCCCTCTAAATAAACATCCTATGTCAGCGGGGACTGCGAGTAGTTCCCAGTGACAATTAACCACACCCACACGCACCGCCAGTTTATGCAAGCTTTAAAGACAGATAGATAGCTCTTCTAGAATCAACCATGCACAAAAATATCTGCATGGGGATGCACTACAGTGTGATTATAGTGACTTCTCTGCATTATCTACCGAGGGGCCACTCCGGTGAACAGTACAGCTAAAGCCAACCTGAGCCAAAAAGTCCACACAGCACACTGCTGACTGGATGCAACAGTCTGGGTCCGAAGCAATAACATCACATTTGTGCAGTGCTGTACGAAAGTTAGTAAGCTCTATTCTGCAATACTGCGTCCAGGTGAGCAAGTCAGCTCAGACAACTCTAGGTGATACATATTCCCCAAGAATTTTTTTATGCAAAGTAGCTTACTCCACATTCAAACTACACATCATTACCAGCCCTTTGAAAATTCACAGCAGAACAGACAATTCACATAAATTCCCACCCTCTTCCCCCCAACTAGACACACAAATTTCCCCATGCAGAAAAGCCTGAATTCCCAGATGGCCTGTACAAGCCTTCAGGAAGTCACTAAACTTTTACAAGATAACTTAGAAAATGAAGAAGTAACAACACTTACGCAGAAATAAGTCCTGTGGCTCTCCCTCGCAAGTCTCTGTATTCCTGCCAGGATTCCATGTTAGCTCTTTGTGGTGCTCTACCTTCTGCTCGGAGGACTTGAGCAACCATATCTCGATCTGCAATGGACACAACAAACTGGGGACCAAAGTGAGACTTGAAGATCTTTCCATATTCCTGAGTGTGTTTTTGCTACAATATCACCAACAAAGAGAAACAGAAGTAAAGTATTACTAGGGAAAAACAGCACAAAAGGAAACTGACAATTTGTTATACAGTCTGTCACATCCAGAACTTGACCCCCAGCCTTCCAGTCAAGATATGGTTTGAAACACCAGGAGAAAGCATCTAAGCGTTACTGTGAAATATTCACAGGGAAAACAGAGAGGTCACACCGTTCAGGACCTCTGACTGAAAGACCCAAAGCTCTAAGGCACAAAGCGTGAGTGAAACCAAATACTGAGATGATGAAAGGATTGGGGCACTTAAAAACACATCTCTTCAGATCAAAGAGACTAGAAAGAATGTCTGAAAAATTCAAAACGATAGGGTGAAATCAACAGTATCATACAAAGATACAATAATTTACTTTTAATGTCTTTTGTAAATACTGACTCTACCATTTTATTCTTTAAAAAAAAAAAGACTTCTAAGTTACTCAGATCTAGCTGAGGACAATGATACCACAGCACCTAGTGAAAAACTGCATTTTGGGACAGCTTCAGCAGCAGTGAACTGTAGAATGGCAAACGTTAATTCTTCAAAAGGAAGCAAAAGTTGAGGTCTTCTTCCTGCAGCGAGGTTTAGTTAGTGGCTGCTCCACAAGGTGTATGATTCAAGCTGGAGGCAAGCAACAGGCAATTAAGAAAGAGGATTGGAAAACGTTAAATTATGTATAAAAAGAAACTCAGAAGTTTTCTAGGAAGATGGCGCTATCACTGTCCCATGAAATCTTACTGATTATTTCCAACAAATGTCATTCTGACATGGTCAGGAAATGATACATCCACCTCCCAGGAATTCACTTGGAGTAGAGGTATATCAGCATTTTAGGGGACAAACAATAAAATTGCAAAGGAGTTGTTAAAGAGATATTATTAGGACTTTAGATTTAAGAAAGCTTTAAATTTTAAAGCCTTTATTTCTGGTTAAAATAGCAAGACAAGTTAAACTGACCAAAGCTTCTTTGACATGTTACCAGCATCTAATCTAAAGACGTCTGCTTGCAGAGTTATGTTTATTACAAATCAAAGATGCTTGATACAACTACACTAGTGAAAGGCTAGTGTTGACCCAAGATTAACTTATGAGAAATATTTTTTTAATCAGTCCTGGTTACAGAGATGAATTGTTTAATTGCCAGCAACAAGTTTAAGATACATGAATCACTCTTCAGCATATGGTACCAAGTGCTTATGAAAAACATAACTCTCTTTGCCTGGTTTCCAAATAAAACAAGAGTTAGGAAATCATGGTCTCTGCCAGTCTCCTCTTAATTACTTTTGGAACACAATGGGCAATTTCAGTCAAGTTTAACAGAGAGTTAAAGGTCTCCAGCAATTATATTCTTACCAGTTTCAAAAAGCATCTGGATTCACAAGACACACGTATTAGTCACCCCGATGTGGGAAACGCTACAGGAGGAACTCCCTGTTACCATTTCTCCATGGTCTGCTGCTAACCAAACACCACACGCAGACCAACGTGCAAACAAGCACTCCCCAAACCTAAAGTATCTGTTGCTCCAGAGATACTTTAGAGATATTGAAACTGAACGTGGAGAGAACTGAGAGCATGAGTCTTTACAGGAATGCGTGAGTTGGGAGGTAAGCGCTGCAAGGAAAAGGCATTGGGGTGAGGGGGATACAGGTCACCAGTCTCAGAAAAACAGGTTCAACAAATCTTGCTATTTATGGAGCAGCTTGTTTTTCCCACTGATGGTGAGGTTTACATGGGAGGATAAACTTCAACAGAAAATGAATCAAGTGTCAAGCTACCCAATCAGATAAATGAAGTATTAGTTTTAAACCAGAAGCAGACAAAGACAAGGTATTCAGACACCCCTTGCTTTCAGCAGAATGATGTTCAGAGCATCAACTTCATGTTCAAAGAAACACCTGGAATTTCTCTTCCATATTTCCTATCACAACATAGATTTTCTTTCCCTTGTTTCAACCCTTAAAAATATTATACTTTTATGTCTCACATACCACTCTCACACCAGACATTCTTTCACACATCATAAATCCAACCTTCCAGCATCCAAACCCTGCGCCCTCACCTTTCTTTTCTTTACCCTTGCATAGCACCGACGAGACAAAAAAGATCTAACCCCATCAAATTAAAAATACTTTCCCTTTGTCATAATTGCTGTAGGCATTACTGCTCTGGCCAGGACTAACTGGAATCATGTTACCGAGAACAGAACCTCCTTTGTGAAAAAGCGCCCGGCCTCTCCACCCCTTCTGCATATAGTGTACGAATATCTGTGTGCGCCGAAGGACGTCTCTGAAGTAGCTGTGCCGGTTACCACAGGGTTTCAGATTAATTCATTCCTGATGTTCACTGTATTGTTAAATTTAACAGACTGTTATTAATCCAGTTAATGCCTATTTGCATCCAGCATGTATGCACACGCACGTGATTTGTTAAGTGATTTTTGAGACTCTAACCAGAATAAAAACCTAGTATCATATTTCAACTCCTCCTTATCCTTCCTCCCGCTTTCCTCTCTATGAATAACATTAAATATGAAAATTTCCATATCAGCTAGCGATAGTGAAAAGCACATACTATTTAGGTCATCTTGTATTCCTTCTAATATTTTGAATAATTTCACTATTTTTTTGACAGTGAAAGAACAGTGAAAGCTTGAATCCAACGGCAGTATTTTTTTCAGTGCTATGAGACTATGTGAAACGTGTCTCAAATTCCATGCAGCACCACAGAGGTAGAGCAAAGCAGAAATATAACGCAACAGAAAGCTTCGGCTGTCACGAAGTTGCATCTGCACGTGTCTTGGTTAGCAAGCAATGCAGCTGAGCAAGTCATGGTCAGCGATCTAGTCTGGCTGCCACCAAACACAGCACAGAGGAGCCTAACACACCTTTTTAGAAATCTCAATAGTGAATACAACAAAGCCAGACATGTGGGGTACTGTTGTTTCTTTTTTTAGTGTTTCCTGCCTCTTTCCAGCGTTTTTAGGCCCTTCGTAAATCCGAACTTTCAAGTTTTGGTCCTCAAACCATTTAAAGTTCTGCCCCGTTCTGCTTGGTTGTCCTTTTCTGTTTTTACTTTCCTCTCTTTCACTCTTTTTTTTTATTTCGGTGATTTTCGAGGAGCGAACCTCTTCGGGTTGCCGGTGACCCTCTTCCTCGCGACCTGGGAATGGTCACCACGACCAGTGGAGCAACCAACAGCACCCTCGAGGCGCTCCCAGAGAGATCCGTCCCGGTGGCAGGAATCCTTACACATCCTGCAGCCGCAGCAGGACCAAAACCACCGCCTCACAGAATCACAGAATGTTCGGGGTTGGAAGCGACCTCTGTGGCTCATCTAGTCCACCCCTCCTGCCGAAGCAGGGTCACCTACAG